GATGCGGGGCACCATTCCAGGACCCTGGGACCATGAGCTGAGCCGAAGGCAGCCGCTTAACGACTGAGCCACCCAGGCGCCCCAATTTAAGACCTTTTATAAAGTGAAGTCCAAGCCCAGTTGTCCTCCTAGACACCCTTCCTCCCCAAGATGGGCCAAGTCTCTGTTTTCAGTTTTGACTAGGGAACTCCTTTGACTTAGAACATCCTGGCATTGGGATCACCTTGTGCAAAGGCAGAGAGACGGGGAACAGCTTGGGAAAGAGAATCCTGCCTCTTCCTGGACTGGGAGTCTTTTCTCAGTTGCTTTTATGGGCAAGTTGTAATTAATGCTGTCTTCAAAAAATTGCATGTGTTGTTTGTAGTGTGTATGCGGTCACACTCAGAGGAAACGTGGGGTACTGAAGAAAACAATAGGATTTGAGTCTGAAAACTTGTTTGTGAGGTCTTGCTCTACGAAGTGCATAAGACTTGCTTGCTCATCTGTGCTTGGGGAGACCTCTTACTGACCTCATAGGGCTGCTGAGAGGGCAAATGAAATGATGGTACAAACCCACTTTATAAACCATAAATAGCTATAAAAATGTGAGCCATTATTATTTTCCAAGTTCCTCTTTGTTCCTGCCTACTTTTCCAATTTGAAAAGGTCAGTTTAAATTCTAAAGCAGACAACCAACAATTTACAAGTGGATTAAGTTCCCCAAGTTCACTGTTGGAACTCTGAAACACTTGGAAACAAGGCTGTAAATGGCAGTTAAGTTCCCAGGCCAGCCCATTAATACTTTTGAAAACATAATATTTCATTTGAGGGAATAAAATAATATAAAATATAACAATTGTAAAGACAGATGGAGGCTTTAGCAGATTTTTAAAAGAAATTTTGGAAACTTTTAAGGACTTTGGAGGTTCATCAGAGAATTGGAACAGAAAAATCAAAAGGGCTAAGGAGAATTTCTCTGGATCTGTGGAATAATTTATGGAGTGGGATTAACTGCGCTGTGGACCGGGGAAAATGGATAAGTGGGAGAACACAGTCTGTGCACAGTTCTGCTAAGCATTAACAAAAAGATGTGGCTGTGGAGGCTGGTGGTTCTGGTTTAGATAATTACTCATAATGCCCACTCGGTGGCACTGTTGACTAAGTTGACTACAGCTTGGTTGCCGGCAGGATCACTGAATGAGAAACCCTGTTTGTGGGCTCCCGGTGGCGGAATAACTACATATATATCTTTTCTGTCCTTTTCATTTAACGGGGTCTATCGTCACCATAGAAACGACACCACGTTTCATCAGTTCCCTTAGGAATATGTGTTGCATTCTGTGCAAGTTCCTATAGGGAGAAGTAACACGAAATAGGAATGGGCTCTGTCCTCAAGGACTCTACAGTCTAGAGGAGATAAATGTGTACAAAATAAATGACTTACAAATTATTATGTGAAAAGTACCAGAGGAGAGATAAAGTGCTCTTAGAGTTCATCAAGACAAGGCAAGAATTTCTTGCCAGTCATGGCCAGAGTACAGGATGACGGACATTTGGGGGAGCCCACCACGGGGAGAGTACATGGCAGGCAGAGCAAACAGTGGGAACAGAGTCACAGAGACGGGAGACCACAGGACGTGCCTGCAAAGCCATTTGGTTTGGTGCCATCGTGGGCTGTCGAGTGGTAAGTGCTGGTGAAGGACTGGGATGGAGGTTGTGGATGCCCTGTTTCCTCCTTCCCTTGCCAAGTCTCTGCAGGAATGTGACCCTCACAGAGGATTTTTTTTTTTTTTTTTTTTGGCTCTGTACTAGGTTTGTCTGGTGCTGTCTAAAGACTTCTGTGTGGAGAGCTCCAGCTCTGTAAAAAGATATCAAATTTGATCCCGGTGAACAATACCAGGAAGAAAGCTTTCAACTCCCTCATGCTCCCAGTCTTGTGAAAACAAATGATACTCCCCAGTCTCATTCTCAGCTTATCAGGTGGAGCTGGGAAGCCCTGGGAAAGAAAAATTTGGAGGCTAAAGATTCTGCGTCCCAGTGAAAGAAACGTCCTCTCGCCTTCTACCTTGTCACCTTGCCTCTAGGTCCGTTTGCACCATGGCCACCAAAGTGAACATTCCACGACCCCAATCAGATTCCCCATAAAAATATGTGATGGCCCCCCTCTGCCCTCAGTGTAGAGTCCAAGTTCCTTATTATGGTGTGTGGGGTGCCTTCTTCACTGACCCCCTTCCTCGGCGCAGACAAGCAGCTCAGGAGACCCTGGGAAGAGTCAGAGGAGCCACAGATCGGGCGTTCAGACCCGGGTTCTTGAACTGACTCTGTTGCTCTGTGCATCTCAGTTCTTTGGTTGGGTCGTCAATGTTTGATTTCCTATTTGCTTCTCTCCTTGCCTCTTCCTGGCCCCCCAGATTGCAAGCAGTGTGAGGCTGGGTGCTGTGTCTTACTCCCCGCTAGCTCCTACAGCCTAGTGCAGGGCCTGGCACCTGGTGAGCGGACATAAGTACTGTGGAGTGAGTCCGTGAGTAATTGCTCAAGGGCTCCTGAGGCTTCTTCTAATGCATGTGTCCTGGAGGGAGCCGTTTATCCTCTGGGAGTGTTTGTTTGCTCACTTATTTGCAGGGGGAAATGAGATAGCAGCGAGGTGTTCTGCAAGCACTATGTCTCTGCGTCCCAGCCTTCCTGCATGCAGCTGGGGGCAGGCAGCCCAGCCCACTGGGCTTCTCCCCATCTCAGGGCCCCTCTCCCAAGCTCCTTTGTGCAGAGTGAGCTGCAGAGCCCCCTGTTCGAGTGGCTGCCCGGGCTGGTGGCCCGATGAAAACTTCTCTTGTTCCACTCGGCACAATGTCGCCATTATGGCCCCTACCCAGGGAAATGACACACGTCTGCTGGTCCACCCAGCGCGGGCCCCGGAAAGCAGATAGAGATATGGGTGGTGGCTGCTGGGAGAAAAAGAAAGAGTTTCATGGCTGAAAACCCCTCCTTTGGTTGAACCTTCGGGTTTCTGTTCCAGGGCACGGGGCTCCTACCTGCACCCGGGCCACCGGGCTCGGCTTCAGTGGGGAACGGAGCCCAGTGCGCTGGTTGTGTCTGGAGGAAAAGAGCTTTTGTTTTTATGCCCAAAGGCTGCACCTATTTCTGTTTTTATGCCTAACACTGCCGCAGGGGCTACCTACCTCTCATCTGAAAGGCTGCGTGGTGGGCCCCATTTTCACCTCCGTGCTGCAGGATGAGACCAGGCTGCAGCAGTCCAAAGGGAATTTCTGAAACCTGGAACCACAAAAACTTGAGAGCAGAGAGGAACTGGAGAGGTTAGCCGGGATGGTCTCTCCACTGGTCAGGTAAGAAAACTACAGCCCAAAGCACACAAGGCCTAAGAGGCAGGGCCAGGAGTGGTGTCCAGGACTCCAGACTTGACGTCGCCAGAGCCACACTCCTGCCCCCATAACTCATTCTCTGCCATTTGTGGCACACACTGGGGGAAGAAGAGCAAGATCAAAGGCATGATCTTCAACCTCTCTGAACCCTCGATGACTCATCTAAAAATCATCTAAAAATCAGGGGCTAACAACAGCCCCCTCACACGGGGCTTGTGAGGCTTCAATGTGACTGTGTATGTAGCGTGCTTGGTGCCTGGCCTGGCACAGAGGAAGCGTTCTCCAAATTTAGCTCGCACTCTCTTCAGGGAGGTAGTTGTTCTATGGTGGCCAAATTCATGGGCTTCGGGGTGAGACATCCTTGAGTTCAGGTTCAGGCTCTGCTATGTACAGCTGTGAAACCTTAAAACGAATTACTTATCGAGAGCTCAATGTCCTCATCTGTAAAAGAAGTACCTAGAGGATTAAAT